GCAGGAACCACGGAGGGTGTTCCTTGCTAGCTGACTCACGGGCCGGCTTATACTCAGCTAGATTTCTTATACAACCCAAGGTTTCCTGCCGAGGGATGATGTCGCAAACTGGGATAGGCTGTGGTAATGGCTACAGAAAGTTGCTCTCGTCTCTGCGGCTTTGGATGAGTGCAGGGATCAAGGCCGGTGGCAAGCGTTGTTCGGTCTCAGTCAGAACTGTGGTGTTGTGTGCTTGTTGCCTCACTGTGGGCTCGGTGAGGACACTGAAAATCCAGAGCCACATCCAGAAGGACCTGAGAGTAGTCCTCAGGCAGCTCACCCTTGTTTCGCTGACTCTTCCGGAACAGTGGGAACGCTCAAAAGAGGCGTGATGGGGAAGGGTACCCAGCCTTCTTGGGTACTTAATTCTAGCACCGTGTTCACCGTGTTCCTAAGAGTGGAAGGGAGGTATTAGAAGTTCTGAAATAAACTGGATTTACATTTATTTGGTTTTGGGTGTGGATTCTAGTTCAAAGCTGTCAGGACTTGACTGGAGAAACATGTGAAGTGCTCCAATCCTAAAACCAGAAGGAAGGAAACCAGGTGTTTCTCTCACCTGCTCTGCTGGTTGCTCAGGCTCCTGAGTCCTGAATTTTGGGACATTCCCCCTCCCCCCTCCAGAGTCTCCTGTCAATTGCTCTCTGAAGTCCTCTCATCTCCTCAGCCACCCTCACCTAGAAACTCCTGGTCTGTGTTATGTCTAGTTCTTTGTTGACCCTGCTGAATGTAGTGGCCAAGAGGATCCGTGCTTGTCTCAGGGCACATGGCATCTGAAAGCCAGTTAGTGGCACCTTTGACACCGTGAACAGCGAAATGCTTGCTTGGTTTAGCCTCTAGGCCTTTGGAGTGCCTGAGCTACCCAGCTTCAAGACAGATTACCAAAGGCTTCTAGAATAAACGGCTGGGAAGGGAGAGAAGCTTCGGAGGGGAGAGAAAAAGCCCACGTCAGCATATTCCACTCTCAGCCGTCAGTATCGACGGCATTTTCAAGGGCCAAGACCTGGCACACAAAGAAGCAGCCCTTGACACTCTTAAGCCTCCCGTAGCGCGAGGAGTATGGGATCAAGCTGGCTTACTCTTTTCTTATCATACCTCAGAGTATCTTAGCAGTGATCCTGGTGAAGCAGATGTCTTACCGTAGGTGGAGGTTGTTGGTAAGTAGTGGTGAAACAGGTAGTCCCAGTCTTCACTTTCCTCCAACTCCCACTTGCTGGTGCCCAAGACGCCCAAACCATGAGCGTATATAACCGTAGAAACGCCACTGGGTGTGGGATTCTCACCAGGAACCCGAATCTCCCAGTCCCCATCATAGAGAGGACTTGGCTGGTGAGGGACCTTTGGCTATATTGCCAATGCTGTTTTATTTGCTTACCTGGCCCTTCCTTTTTACTTATTTGGGAAACTTTCAAACCCACCTACCTATCTACCTTCTTTCTTTCTCCCCGCACTCCTTCCCTCCCTCTCTCCCTGAACCTGGGGCTTCAGCCTTGAGCCTCCTGAGCAGGTACTTCACCACTGAGCTACAGCCCTAAGTCCCCTGCTTCTTCTGATAGTTTGTATGTCCCCAGTCCTGCGTGCTTATTCCTGCCTCTTTGTTCTTGCCTTGCATGATTACAGTTCATTAACCTTCTAGTTGTGTCAGGTTGAACGCAGGCTTTATTAACCACTGGGTTAATTTGGTTAGGAGCCACTGACTAGGAAACACAGCGACACACAGCATTGGTTTTCTCAGGGCACCCTTCAAGTCTATGCTTGATTTTGTTCAATACAAGGGGATCTCAACTTCTTGAAAGGAAAAGAAAATATCTAGAAGTTGAGTGGAGACTCCCTTGATTCCTGGGCCGCTTCCGACTTTATGGTTTGTGCTTAAGAGGACAGGTTGTGTTCTTAAGCTGCAGGCTTTTCCATGCTGCTTCATAGCCAAACTGACTGCGGGACACCCAGGTTCTCCATGTTTCAGCAGAGGTGGGAAGGGTTGGTAGAACAAGGCCAGGCTTTCTGGTTGTGGTCCACAAGTGAAATGACCCAGGTCCTAAAGTGTCGTCTACTCTCTGAGGTATTTTCTGTTAATGGTGGTCGTTATATATGGTGTATATATGTACATGTGTGCATGTATTTCATAAGCAGAGAGGATGTTGGGTTTCCTTTGGTCATTGTACATGTTTTAATTACATAGTATCTCAAAAGGAAGTCACCTCTAGCCCAGAATCTCCAGCTTATTATAGCATGACCAAAAGTAATTTTTACATCCTTGTATCTGGTTAGGAAAACTACCTCTTAGGTTGACATCAGAACAGGCAGCATTAGTCGAGAAGCACATTGTATACCTTTAACTACCAAACAGCTGTTTGTTATTCCCGATAAGTGTTAAAGGGGATCTACAACCCTGGGGCTAGGGAGGCAGCTCAGTGGTAAAAGTGCTGATATACATGCATGGGCATCTCAGTGGGCATCCCAGAACCCGTGTTAAAAGCTGGGCATGGCAGTGCTTGGCAGTGCATACCTTTAATCCCAGCAGTGGGCAGCAGAGATAGGAGGACCTTGGGGCATTGCTGGTCAGCCATTCTAGCCCACAGGTGAGCGAAAGATTCAGTAAAATACCCTGTCTCAAAGAATAAAGCATAGAACACTTGAAAAAAAACCCAGAGCCACACACATGTGCATGCATGGGCAGGGGCACCCACATGCACACACGCTCTTAACTCCGCCCACTCAACACACACACAAACATTTGTTTAAAAAAAAAGATTTAAGCCCTAGTACTAAAATGCTTTTCCTTAAAAATAAAAACCTCCAAGACACTGTGTAACAATTATCAAAATTGTTGTCAATCTTGTGTTAACAGGGTGTATCAACCCTGACTCTGTGAGTGAGAGCAAAGGACTCTCTGTGTCACTTATAGCTCCCTCAGAGAAGTTTTGGCTGTAGACTGGAGCACGAGCAGATGACCTAGGAACACCTGAGGTGGGGACAGGTAGGGACAGGTAGTCAGTTTACTGAGAACTACGAGATTCTAAGGGATTGAAGATGTGGCACGTGAAAGCTGGGCTATTTAGGTAGCTGGTCAAGCATCTTTGTCTGTCAGTTAAGACCATGTTCCCTTTTCCTGGGTGCCAGTGTGAACAATAAATTGACATTTTGTGACATTAGACATCTCTGTAAGGCATGGGGGCAAGCTTTCCAGTTATGTGATAGGTTGGTTTTGAAACGTATCAATACATGGAATAAGTAAGAAACAGCATATATAGTTTCTACCTTAAAGGTCAGAAATCCATTCGCCAGTGCCTCTGCTAATTCAGTTATTTTTCATAATTCTTCATTCACCTTTTAGTCAATCAGATACTGAATTTTTATGCCTTTGAAGCCACTGTTGCCCAGACATTGTGTGCCTATGGAGCTGTCTGTGTAGACTCACCCTGCAGAGATGGGATGCTGGGGTCCTCCCTTGTGTGCTGTTGTGAAGCTGTGTTTCTGCTAAGGCTGGCATGCCATTTTCTTTGGAATATCTGTCTTCCATGATTGACAATGTCATTACCTTCTCTCCTGGTTTATTAAAAATAAAAAGCAGGTACAACATTATGTTCACTGAATAGTAGTGCATGTGGATTAAGAATTTATCGTTTGAAGACAATTACAAAATAATTTTCATAGTCATAGAAAGTGTCAACGTGGGGATTGCAGTATGCACTTTGTATCCTGGCCTCGGCAAATGTGTATTCTTCAGTGGACAGAGACAGAGAACCAAGAACAGAAGGAGCTGTGGTGGGCCATTGAGAGTCTGAGGATTTCTTCTTTCCCGTAGATATCGTTGTAGTTTTAAATACGATTTTTACTGTGAAAACCCTGTAGTTCTAGTTAAGTCTCTGATTCCATTTTTCATCGGAAGATTCAGATATTTAAATACTTGCTAGGTGCAGCCTCTGAGGAAAATGATGCCTTGTCAGGTGGATGTAAGGAACTGAGACATGCACGTTTGTCGTCTTCTTGCTCCTGCGAGCATCTTTCAAGGGAAAAAGCCACACACGCCTGCTTAAGTCATCAGAAACATTTTTACTCCTGTTTTTGTTTAACATTTGACAGAACAAAAGCCCTGGAACTGTGCCTACCGCAGACTCATTCCTAAATGTAAAGTTAATTAAAAGTAATTTCAAAACTCTGTAAAGAACCAATAACACAATTCAAAACATATCCTCTGTCTGTCTTTGGAGGGGGGGGATGGGGTACTGAATTAATTTGTTCGTTTGACTGATGGCACACTGAGTTCTTAAAACCCTTGGTGGAGTGTTACCTGCCAAGGAGGGTCTGCATCTCAGTCCTGAAGATGATGTGGCCGGACTCTGACCCACCAGTTCTTCGATTCCTTGTGGTCGGTAGGGAAAGGCACTAGGGTCTGGTACACGCCATTTCTGTCACTCATCAGTTTCCTGCCTTTATTAAAGATATTCAAGTACCAGCTAGAAATCCCTAAGTCATCGGCCTTGCTCACCAGTGCTTCTGGTCCGAGTTCTTAGTGCTCAAAAATTAGTTATTCCAGAGAATACCCTTGTCCCTGTGCCTCTATAGCATCGTATATAGCCCTTTCTGAACCATGGGCACGCCCCAAGACTACAAACATGACTGCTTAGACCTGCACTCTCCCATGTGGAGCCACTAAATCCCTTTGCTATTTTAATTTAAATTGCATACAATTTTAAAAACAGCCCTTGGTTTCACCAGCTATTTCTTGGCTTGGACTTTCACCTCCTTGAGAGCGCCAAGGAGCTAGAGTGTGAGCAGCACGCTTGTGAGCTGTCCTCAGTGCTTTCCCTGATGCCCTGAGAGCCCAGGGCTCAAGAAGTCCATGTGGCTGTCCTGCTGGATAGCACGAGTGACTGTAGTCACGGCAGAAAGTCCTGCTGGGCACAGAGCTTTGCAGAGTTTTCCTGGGCCTAATGGGTTTCTTGCTTGTGTTTACAATGCAGCTGTCTGCTTCAGGAAGTGAGGGTTCTGGAACAAGAAGGACCTTCAGGAGCTGCTTCACACTGTGACATGTCTGATCCCTTGTGCCCGTCACTGCAGCATGAACAAGGTAAGGGATGCTTCGGATGTACTTTGTAAATTTTCCTATATTGTGATTTTCTTGGGCACACATGTCTCTGTGGCTCAAGGCGGTTTGCTTTTCCTGCCGTTATAGTTGGTCATGTAATGTCCACAAGCCATCTTTCAGGCAGGGTGCAGGAGCTGGTAGACACTTCATGATTCTATAGAGTATCTCTTGCATTTCCCAGAGGTGTTTGATAGCTGAAATGCTGACTGTTTGTGTGACTGTGTTGACATGACTAATAGAGCCAGATTTCCTGAGATGACTATCAGCTCTGCCAGACCTCAGGCAAGTGACCCAACTTCTTGAAGCCTCTCCTTTTCCCATGTGTAATATGCTAATCATAGTGGGTGAAATATACTAATTTATGTGCCCCTTGCCATGTATAGTGCCTGTCTGTATTACAGGCCTCATGGAAACATTTGGCACAGTTTTGATGTTGGGACACTGTTAGCCCATATACCTAGCTGCAAGAGAGTCTAGCAAGTACATGCAGCATTTCCATTTGCTCTCTGATGTGCTGAGTAGCCATTGATTCCCAGAAGGGCCCATTAGGGATAAGCAATGAGTAGGGTTTGGATTGAGCTGCTAGCAGGTGGCAGACTATTTCAGGTTTGAGTAGTCTAATAAGGGATGTGCCAGAAGCTCTAGAGGCATAGAAGAAACAGCCAGATCTGTGACTAACTTAGCTTTCTATTGCTGCAATAAAACACTGACTAAAAGCATCCTTAGGAAGGAAAATTTTTTATTTGGCTTATAGGTTACAGTCCATCATTGGGGAGTTAAGGCGGGAATAGAACCAGAGACCGTAGAGGAATGCTGTTTACTGGCTTGCTCCCATTGCTTGCTCTTTTATCCAACCCAGAACCACTTGCACAAGTACTACCCACGGTGGACTGGCCCCTCCCACATCAGCCATTAATCAAGAAAATGGTCTATAGACTGTCCCATAGGCAATCTTATGGAGGCCATTTCTCAACTGAGGATCTTTATCCCAGATTACTCTAGTTTATATCAAGTAAGTTGACAAAACAAAACCAGGGTCATGACCTAGGAGAGACAGTACAGAGGAGGTGAGATTCTGAGTTGGAATCTGGATGGTAAAATGATAGTTTTCTGGGCAGATGGTGTAGAACTAGGCACTGCAGGTGAAGGGAAAACCTGGTTTGGGCACAAAGGCCTTTGAGAAGGTCTGGTGTGCTCAGGAACAGCAGATGTTTGAATGGCTGGAGCAGAGTTTTCTCTCCGTGACACTTGGCGCTGTGACAAGGGAACTCAAGAGTGAGTCACTGTCTTCTGCATTTTAGGATTCTTGGTGGTATCCCCTTTCTCCCATTCTAGTCATGACAAAAATTGTCCCCTGGTATTTATTTCCCCATGCCGCTTGACAAAAATCAGCTCTGACTGAAACCCACATGAGCGGTGGCCAGAGACCATGTATGAGCTCAGTGACTGAGGCAAGGCCAGCATTTGAGGAGAACTTTTTCTATAAAAATAGGCATAATGTAGGGGTTGTGGTGGAGTTGTACAACACTTGGGGTACTTTGGTCTTGACCGCAGAGAGGGCATTTAACCTGCTGAGTTCCCGGTCTGAAGCTACCCTCAAGTGATTTTTCATAGGCCAGTCTTCCTTCATAAGGGTGGGAAGAGCTAAGGCCCCTTCAATGTTTGCATCGTAATAGGATGTTGTGGCTGCTACCATATCTGAAGAGGCCAGAAAAACCAGAGCAAAACAGCAATAATAGAACCAAACAGTTATGTTGAAGAATTTTACATTTGGCTGAAATGAACTACTATCCACCTTTTCCTGTGCCCCCCCCCCCAAAAAAAAGCCTTCTGTTGGATGTCCCATTGTTCCCTGACAGGTCCCTATCCAAGCTTAAGGACTCACCTTTTAACAGGCTAACAAGTCAGCTTGGGGGAATTTTGAAGGACAGACTGTCATGGCTGGAGACAGAAGTCAATCCCCACAAGCCCCAGCTTCTGTTATTTCGAGGCTGGTATACTGGAAAGTCAAGGCAGTGCTTGGGAAACTTTTGATCCACACGCTCAGCTTGTGCCATCAGCCAGCTCCCAGTGGCCTTCAGGGCATCTCCACAGCGCTGATGTCATGGTCTTGCTCTTAGTACACACTCAGGAAGCAGACTCTTGGGAACCAGTAGGTGTGTCTGTGCTTGGGAAGTTGTGTTTTGCCTGCATGGCCCACTGAATGCCTTACTTTATATCCTTTTAATTGGAAGTAGTGAGTAAGCTGGGATGTGTCACCTCCCTTGGTCAGCATTTTTCTCCCTCTTTTTATGGCTTTCTTGGCAACAGACAGAGAATAGGTCTTGCTCTGGGGGAGGAAACAGCTCTTCTCAATACAATAAAACCAGAGAGTCATCTCATCAGGGAGGTATGTAACAGGCCACTGGAAGTGTGGTCATGGGTGTGGCTGGTGTTCTAAGTGGATTTGTTCCTAGAAAGCTGGGAGACATTTCAACTGTGCCTCTCCATTAGACACATTCTCTAATTCTGTCCTTCCTTCCTGAATACCAGCTAGGAGGATTTCTGTTAGGGAGCGGTCAAGACAAAAGGTAGCCACAGTGTTCTAGAGTTCTTACTCCTATAAAACACCAAGGTGATACTGCTGAGAGATTTTCTTTGTGTTCTTTCAGGGCTAAACCCTCTAGAGGACAGGAGTGGCTCCCATGGCACAAAGAGGTTGCTAACTTATTGTAGTAATTCGATCATGTGACTGACCTAGGGTCTAGTGAGCTGCATATACCAGGCAGGGATTTTATTTCTCAAATTTTCCCTTTCTTACCTGAGGCTGGGTATGAGGGGTTAGCTGTGGCCCTGCTTGTGCCTCTGCAGTACCGTGGGCAGAGAGGGGAACGAGATATTCCTAAACTCACTGTGAATAGACCGCCATTTCCTGAGGCTAGTTGCAGGGTTTACACCCTCTGGATGTGCGTTCTAGAAAGTTCACCTCAGACTGACTCACCTTCCTCATGTTGTAAAACAGGCTTAGTGGTTGTACAATGAGAGCCTTATGCATTAAACAAATCATGAGGTGCATTTTCTGGGACACCATCCCACACCCCACCCCTACCCCTTAGACTGGAAGACCATCTTTCCAACTTTCTCAGGCATTTTTTGCAAAATTGACGTTTCAGTCTTCATGGCGATTGACAAATTTCACAGTGGGGACTTAGCTTTTGAATTGTGCAAAAAAGCCTTTATCCTTTCTGGTTTCTGGAATCATTCTTACTGATATTTATACCACATCTCACGTCATACGCTTCTGTTAGTCACAAGCACGAATGTTTGGGGTTTATCTATATTTTGTGTGTGCTGCTGTGCTGTAAAGAAAGAAGTGTAGTTTGCAACAAAACAAAAACAAGAAACACCAGACAAAACACAGGGAAGTCGGGGTCCTCAGAGGAAAGCAGTGCAGAGGGATGCCTCTCGCTGTACATGGCCTTGGCAGTCACAAGCCACACCCACACCCGTGACAGGGTCTGCTCCCAGAAGCCCCTCCTGTGGCGGTCTCAGGGTGATGGCCCCTCACTTTCTTTTTTTTTTTTTAATATAATTTTTTATTGAAAAAA